ACCCCCCCACACACACACACACACACACACACACACACACACACACACAAAGAGACACCCTCTTTGAGTGTTTCTAAGCCTGCCAATTTTAGTGTGGAAACATGCTCCCGTCTCCAGCCCAGAGGTAAAACAGGTGGCGGAGGAGGGAACACACACTCCTCTTGCCTCAATCCTCGTAGAATGCAACACACACATGCACACGACACGCGCAGGTTGTTGCGTCGAAACAGATTCACATTACTGCTACCAGTTCTAAAATACCACTTGTTAGTAAAGCACTACAGACGAGGTGGTGCACAAATAAACACTCACACACACACACACACACTTACACACTCTCCAGCGTAGCCCTGGGGAGTCCTCAGGCTGTTAGTCCAACAGAAAATGTGCAGTTGACAGTCTCTCTGCTGCACACAAACAAACAAACATGGAGGCATTCATGAATTCACAATGACCAACTAACAAGTGTCACATTTTGTACCGAGCACGTTTCCTTCTTAAAGCTATCTATTAATCATAAGCTGCAAGTCGATGTTCTGTCATCAGAAATTGTCCCGAGCCTTTAACTATACAGTGTGTTGATTGTGTGAAGTGCTGTGTGTTTTTCTGAGGTTAACTGGGGTGAGCAGAGCTGGGTTCTCTCCTCCCCTCTCCCTCTCCTCTCCTTCTCTCTCCTGGGCTAAAAAAATCTTTTTTCTTGCCCGCCCGTTCGGCCACCTTGAGGGATTTGTTGCCGGCGACGGAACTAAGCCCATAAAGTGTCGAGTTCCTGCTGGCTGAGCGCTGAGCCGTCGTTTCTCCCCAGACGTTTTCATAACCTTAACTTATCGCTACAAGTTTGATCTGCAAGCGTACACGGGATTATGTCTGCGGCGTTAGCCCACATTTTAACTAAGAGGCAGTGGGAAGAGGGCGGAGGGCGGGGGGGTGGTCGTGCCAGACAGAGCCTTAACTCCATGTTAAGATTGTGTTTCACTGTTGGAAGGAATGTGACCGCCGACAACGAGCAATTATAGAGATTGTACGGAGGCGGTTTAAAATGTAAAAAAAAGACCAGGATTTTCTTCATATCACAGAATATTTTAAATGAGGATGCATGATGCATCAACACCCTTATAACTGCAATCCTTGGTGTGTGGGTGCATTGTCTTATTCTGGCTACTCTGGCTCTGTTCTAACGTCATCGGTAGACGACTTGTGTCACACAGTGAAGTCTAACTGAGCGTCCAGCAGAGTTTCTGCGAGCAGAAGGGAGACGCTTGACGTCCTTCATGGTGCACAGCACCCTCTGGTCCTGTGCCGCCCATCTGACTCACCTCGGTGCCATTAGGACGTACTGACACAGTCTTGTGCATTTCCTGCTTCTCTGTGTTGTGCTCCTCTCTCGCAGGAACGGTGCCAGCTGCAGTCCCTCCCGATTCTCAGGCCCCTAATTTTTTTATTTTTTTTTATATCCATACAGCTCAAATACAGTTTTATTAAGATAAAAATAATATAATTTTTTTTGGCACAAACTGTGTTATTGATAGCTCCGTGCCAACAAGTCAAAATATTGTTTGTTTTTTTAGCACAATTGGTTCTTGTGTTTGATTTTATTTGAAACAGCTGCTAGCCCGCTGTTAGCATTAGCATATTTAACTTCATCTCCTCTGTGTATGTGTGTGTTTGTGCAGGTAAGCAGGTCATCCACCCAGGGCAGATCCAGGCTGTGCAGGAGGAGTTCTCCCCCAGTCAAGAGAGGGTCCAGTGGGCCAAAGAGCTCATCGCTGCTTTTGACCAGCACCAAAAGGAGGGAAAGGTAACGTTAACCTCCTCTACCAAAAAGTAAAATCCCATTATTTCACAGAATAACAAACTCTTTAGATGTATCTAAAATTGCTACCCGTAGATGCTCATTGCTGTTGCCAGGAAGTTCAACCCTTTGTTAGCATTTGTCCTGGTTGTTCACTGAATATTTCCAGTAATTTGCTCTTAGGCTACAACCTCATTGAGATGCAACTTTAATCATTAAACAGAGTAGCACATATTTATCAAAAATCTGTTAAAATATACACTGACTTCACAAAACAACTATGCATTTTTAGGGATGAGACCTTGGATAAAACAGGGGATTATTTTATATATATTTTTACACACACACACACACACACACACACACACACACACACACACACACA